ACAAGGAAGTATCTTTTGATAGCCCAGAGGCTCCATGTGCCCTGGCCAATTCAGAATGTCTAGAGTCTAGATAAGAGTCTTGAGCTCATGCATAGTTTCTCAATAGCTTGAATTTACATGTCTAAGCAGACCTGGAGATGGGTTCAAGCTACTGAACTAAAGTGTCCATACAGGCAATTAGAAATATTGTAATCTCATTCTTACTGTGTGATTGACTGACATTTCTTTATCTGTTCTGTATGTGATGACCTCAGAATCTTATTGCAATCTCTGCATTCTGTCATCAATTGCCCTGTACCTGTATGTGACTGGGAGTATATAAAAACTCTCTAGTTGTGTTGAAGCTTGGCAGCAGAGTTCATCTCTACCTGCCCGGTAATGCATGCATTATCGTGAGTACCACGGGAACCTTGGGGTAAATACAATAAAGCCTCAGAAGGTCTGGACACTTGGTCTTTCCCACGAACCCGAGTTTTATTCCCTCTTCTCAAATTGAGATTCCGGGATTCTGGCAGATGCAACTGCATGTCTTCTGTGACAGAGTTAACTTTACTTGTAGCCTTCAGGGCGCTTGAAGCAGAGTCCTGGTTTGCTTGTTTGTATATTTGCCCTTCTGTATCTTCTATCTCTAGTAAAATCCCAGGGTACTTCATGTAAAAATGCTGCACATTCACGTCAATGGGCCTGGAAGTTTCCAAGCCCCCATGGTCTCCGTCTCTTTTTTCTGGTAGTTCTGGTTTTCCTGGATACACAGGGCCAGAAATAGGTTTGATAAGGCCCTTGGCAGCCCCCCAGGTGGGACCCTTGTCACCAGTAAAGCCCCCTGTAAGTGGTAGGGACCCCCACAAGTGTCGGAGCCAGTGAAGTGTTCTCTCGTCCATCCAACAGCAAAAAAAAGTGCTGGAGTTGGCAAAACCCTCCCCACAGCTATCAGCGGAGAGGACACCAGCAGCATCACTTGCTTCCTTTCACTGAGCCTGCCATTTTAATTCCCTGAGAGTGTCTCAGGGGTCTGGCTATCCCTGGAAGCCTTGTGGGTGGAGATCAAAGTAGCAGGTACAGCAGTAGTGTTTGCTGAGGGAATGATGCTTTTCTATTGCTGCCAGTGCCCAGTTTTACAAAGGACTGATGGGCCCTACAAATGGCTCAGGCCCGGGAGCAGCCCAGGAGTCCAACTGCTGATACCAGTCCTTCCTTTCACTTTCACTTATTTCTATACTTACACTTCCTTTCCCCAGAGCTGAAAAGAGACTCCATGCTTTCCAAGTCTAAACCTGAGTCCTCAGGTCATACAGTTAGGATGCAGTATTTTACCTGACTTCCTCCCACTGCAAAGGAGATTTTCCTCCTTGAAAGTGACTGTTGCTTTGAAGTGTGGCAAGTTCTGTAAAATGTTTCCCGTTTCCTGCTTGGCTTTGACGGTTTAATACTAACATTCTATTATAGTTCAAGGTCAGACATAAT